AATTGAACTGAGAATTGTTGAAGACAAGCACGAGAGAAGTTCGTTACAGAGTTTGTTATAGAGCGAACGTTGATATTAAGTGCATCGTAAAGTTGTATTCGGAAAGAATAAACCAGTTTTATTTAAGAAAGGGCTTGTGTCGCTAAAGTTTCGTCGGAACGAATTTACGGAAAATTAACTAACGAACGGAGATGTAACAATATCCTCCATAACATTAACTGGTGAAAAGAAAGCAAATGCTTTTTTGTAACGAAGTAGCAGTAGCAAGTAACCTATCCATTTATTAGCTTGTAGTTAGTGGAAAATTAACATAGGAATGTACCGTGTTTTTCTCCAATAGATTTAGTAACAATTTAGACGTGGTGGTAGTATCTAACATTACATTTTTTACAATTGTAGGTAAACCACAGAGCCCCAGTTTCTCACAGTCTCTGTATTATTTGCCAAGAATCGAGCAAAGAAGAAATACGTGAAGCTGGTGAACAGGGACTAAAGACAATGAAGGAGGCAACAGCTATGAGAAAAAAAACTCCAATATGTCAAATATAGAGAGGCCATTGGTTCAGGGAATACTTCAATGGTGTGGAATAGAAATTGCTATGTACAATACACAAAGGCAAAAGCCAGAGGCTTTCGTAAAGCAAGAGCATCTGCAACTGATTTATCAGATCTGGCTACGGGCAGTGATCCCAGAAAAGAATACCAAGTGCATCCAAAATAGTCATCTCTGTAAGTAGATTCAAAATGAGTGAACAATTAATGAGGGCTGCTGAACTTAATTACAATGTTCAGTTAGCTGGAGCTAATGACCTTATAGCTTCTGAAGGCAAATATCTCCCATGTTGCACCAAATTAATGAGAGCTGTGATGAAAAACAGACTGGCCTATAAAGTTTCCAACACAGGAATGCTATGACTACAAATTGAATTTCAACACGCAGCCAACCAGGTCAATGTTCTGGAGTTGTCTGAAGTTTGGACTCCTTACTGTAAACTAGCACGAGAAGCTGGTATCGAAATCTCTCCCACCTCTATCAGTCATCACTCTTTATTCACACAAAAATAGCTCCAAATTCAAGTTGGTGAATTATTTCACTTCATGTCCTTGTGTAATTGGTCTCATGGAGAAAGACAAACGTTCTTAGTTAGTTCCAACCAAGTAAAACTATGTACCTATTTCACATTTGACAGATTCATCACAGGAAGATGAGGGCATTCTTCTTTCACTGATATATGGTGTTCTAAGCATTCGGAATATATTTTAATACACCCTGGTCACAAAGGTTTATACAAGTGCCACATTTTACATGCTTGAGGTCATTATCAAGCTCTTTCTCTACCCCCACAACTGATGCTCTGATGTTACACACAGAGATATCTCAATATCAGGCTTTAGTTCGGAAACAAGCCTCACAACTTAAATCCAATACTTTCTTCCCCAATGCAATGTGATAGTTATCAAAGTGTTGTCAAATACATAGCTGTTTGAAGGTGTTATGTAAGATTGCATTATAATTTCTTACTTGCGTAATTTTGGTTTAAAACGCTTTTGTTCTGTGAGGTATATAATGCCTTTCATGCATATTACCAGGATGAAATATCTCCGTTACCTCTTGAAAGACTACATAAATGTACAAAAGTAAAGTTAGATCATTTAACACATTCTATTTACTTAGCTTGTACAAAACAAAAAATACCAAAAATATTTTTGAAAAATGTGTTATTTTGTCTGATTATAGAGGAATTAATAAGCAATTTACAGCTTCATAGGACCGAAACTGTCTTGGAAAAACTAGTTACCAACTTTTAATAAGAAATGCATCCTAAAGTTGTCTTTTTTGAAAACCTGAATAGTCTAATTGAACTAGTTACAATTACACTGCTGTCCAAAAGTTAAGGAATACAATGTTGGGTACTTAACTAAAGATGTTTAACTTTGGGACATCATTGTTTTATGTATTATACAGAGCAATACTTATCTCTGGAGCAGGATATGCTTACATGTTAAAACGTTCAGAAACCAAATAATATTATTGAGTAATTTAACATTATTTTTTGACAATTTAGCCAATTTATGGTTGTTTTCTACCTCTTGAAATATAATCAGTTCATAAAAATAAAATAAAATATTCAAGAGGTGCCAATGAGCAGTCACAGTGTCCCATACTCATATGCTACAAGAGAAATTTGGCTTTGAAACATAATTGTCTGTGATCAACCAGTGTGTCACACAGTCCATAACTAAAAGTTGGTTGTGACCCACTGGTGAGGCACATGGCAACGAACGTGTTAATAATATATATTTATATTTAGAACTAAGATACATTTATACAAACGTACAATATATTAGTTTTAAACTAATAATATCTTCAGCTCTCTCAACTTTCGTTGTCTTGCCACAAACATGTTTTTGACAATATACAGCAGGGCTGGGTGTTGTCTAGTGGTTTACGTGATGAAATCAATCTGGAAAGGTTTAAGGCAAATATATACTCAACATTTTCAGCTGTGCATTATAAAAATAACAGTCCTGCTCTGTAAGCTAACTGGTTACCCTCCCTCAAAATTAGGGACAAATATGCCTTGAACCTTTGGGTTTATGTGACCTGATTGTTTAACCCATGTCTTGCATAAGGTTTCATCCAATATAGGTTTCTAGTAAGAAGTCTCACTTGTATGTAATAGCACACATATTACCTACAGATACATCATGCTTCAACAGTTTAAATTTTATATATCATACGGCTTCGATACTATTTGTATTTTAAAGTAGTAAATGATTTGTTTAGTGCAAAGCTACACAACAGTCTCTCTGCACTTAGTCTATCACAGAGAATCAAACTTTAGCATTATAGCATTGCAAATTCACAAACTTACCATGACTCACCAGGAGACAACAGTACATGAAGATGCCACATTTCAGAATCAACAAAGGTTCTAGTTTGTTACAATATATCTAATGTATACTCATACTCTGTGTTTAATTTTTGACAGATATTGAAACTTTCTTTTTTTTCCAGTTTAAAAGCGGAAGCACTGTAATTAGTTTTAAGACTGCTTTGGTTGCATTGTGAATTGATATTTGACGGATGTAGTCAACTACATTACTCCACTCCTATCTCATTCAAAGTCATACCTCAATAGCATTTAAATTGTTACCTTCCAGAACTGAAAATCTCCCAACACATAACAAGGACCTGATATTTATTTTTAATTTTAGCCACTAATCACTGCTCTTACTGGTACTGAACTGTTTGCAATGTTTACTAGTTCAAGTTAAATACCTTGTGCACGAGGTACAGAACACAGCTGTAGATTTTTCTTAAAGCCAACATGATATTGTAATTAGGAGGATTACCAGTGGAAACTATATTTTTCTCTTGGACAGAAAAATTTTGCACATGAGACAAAGTCCTTTAGTGATAATTCAAAAAAAATTACAAATTAGAAAAAAAATTGATGAATATAGAATTCAAGGAAATACAACTGAACCTACAGTTTTTCTTTATAAGTTCAGTGGGCACCTTTTTTGACACGCACTAAATGGGGAGAATTTTTAATTTCTCCAAGAATAACTCAAATGGAAAAGAACAACTGAGATGGGCAGTATTTGCACTAGAACAAAGAGGGCAGCATTAAAACATTTATTTTGTAATTTTTCGTAAATCACTTAAATGCTTAATACAAATCAATTATTTTCTGCAAATGAAATGTCAAAAATAAGATGTATTTTTTAAATATTCAAGGGTATGCCTGAAAATAAAAACAACTTTGTTTTATTTTGCATACAGCTAAATGATGGCTATCTATGATACCCTTCTTTGAGCTTACAGACTAGACATAAAGCAGTTAGACAACACCATCCACTGCCAACTGCTGTCAGACCAAATAGTGGGATTTGACCTTCACTCTTATAATACAGCCCAAAAGTGCAGGGCATACTTTATATTTTTGCAGTGACAAGATGTAAACCACAGAACTTTAGTTCCACCACTTGGCACACTAACCACTGGTCTGTGCTAGTCCCCCTCTCACTAAAAAAAGGAAACACACATGACAGAAAACTTCTTTTAGATCAATTAACAGGAAAAAAAATAATTGGCTCGGCTGACAGTCTTTATACATGCTGCCATCTTAGGATAGAAGTTTAGTTAACATAATTAGGGGCTTGTACTTTTTGTTGTTATTATTGTTCAGCAAGTACAATAACTTTAACAAAAGAATAATTTCTTATTTAGTTAAACGTATCATATCTTTTTCAATGCATTCATTTTTTATCACAATCACCAACTCATGCTTATATTTTTGTTTGCAGAATTGTTTTAACTTACACATTTATGAGAACCAACATTATTCATTTAACATGTTTTACAACTTCTAAATGAATTAAAACAAACTCTATAATAGTTCATCAAACATAAATATGAAAATATTCATCACATATTTATAATTTTACATGTAATTTGTGCATGCAGTATATTTTATTTTGGAATAAAGTAGAGTATTACTTCAAATATTTTTGCCCATTAAAAATTTCACCATAAAATATTTTAAAATTATTAACATATAAATTTATCTTTTCAATAATTAGAATATTTCAAACTTTTTTCTAACAACTGCTTAGAGGCTT